CAGAAGAAGGAAAGGTAGTGTTTGGGAAGAGATTAATTCTATTTCTTAGTGTTAATTTGTCCTAAAGACAGATATTTCCACATAATTGGTTAATTGCCTCCAGTGTAATTTGATTAAAGGTAAATGCACATTATCTTTTTTTTTTTTTTAGGTGAATTTATAGTAACTTTATTTATTTATTTTTTTTTTACTTTTTTCTTTTCTTTTTTCTTTTTTATTTTTTTCATTTATTTTTATTAGTTGGAGGCTAATTACTTTACATCATTGCAGTGGTTTTTGTCATACATTGAAATGAATTAGCCATGGATTTACATGTATTCCCCATCCCGGTCCCCCCTCCCACCTCCCTCTCCACCTGATCCCTCTGGGTCTTCCCAGTGCACCAGGCCCGAGCACTTGTCTCATGCACCCAACCTGGGCTGGTGATCTGTTTCACCCTAGATAATATACGTGTTTCGATGCTGTTCTATTGAAACATCCCACCCTCGCCTTCTCCCAGAGTCCACAAGTCTGTTCTGGAGACATACAAATAATGGACATTTCATTCAGCCAAAACTTTAAGAAAGTGTTCTAAAATTTATATTGTCTCTACAAAAAACCATATTTTGCTTTGTTGTAATGTATCAAGTCTGTTTTGTGACTGATGAAAAAGTAGTAGTTACTAGATCACGCACCTCGTTTATTTTGATGGTAGAATATTTGATTTGCTGTTCACATGGAAAATAAAGTAGGGAACCAGTAAAACACACTTATGGAGGAGAAAGGGGATTGATGTTTCTTTAGTAGGCACTCCAGAGGCAAGAGGACTCCATGTTACTGATATGTGTTCTCAAGTTTACTGTACTTGGAAAAACTGACTTTGAAAAATGACTGTCCGGGGCTTGGAGTGTGTCCTGTGCTGGACAGATGTGGCCGAGAAGGCACCAGTGTGAGGTTCATGGTACTCGTAGGAAGACAGCAGACTCCATCCTAGTGGCCTGGAAATCACATAAATCAAAGTGTTTTTACTGTGAATCCCTTTAGAGTAAATAATTGCTTTCATCTCCCCATCATCCTGTGAACATATAAATTGAAAAGTCCTAAACTAGTGGAATAGAGCACAGAGGAAGCAACCCACCTAATTACGTCATCACCTCAAACTCGGGGGTCTCCAGTAGATTCCTAAGGCAGTGGTGGAACCAGGATGGTATAGACAGGAACAGATTTTTATGACAGTAATGACACTTTCCTCAGATCTTTCCCCAAGTGTGTGGCTGACTCCACATGACTTGTTGCCAACAGCAGGATGGTAACTTTTTAAGGTTGTCAATTCTGTCCTTAGTACAATCATAATTTCATTTCCCTATGAGCTAATTTTTTTTTAAGGATTTTACCTGCTTGTCAGGTGATTTTTCTTTACTGCAAATTCTTAAAAGCCTCCATTTCTCAGTCTTGAACCAGCTGGAGTAAATCGAGAGCCCTCCTCCCAGAAGAGGATACAAGGTGAATGACAGTCCTTCCCCACCCCGCAACTCAACTCTGGCCTCACAGATGAGTGGGATTCTCTGGGACTTTAAAGGGGACGGAATCATTATACAGTGGAGGTAACCCCCAGTCAGTTTTCAGATGGGAGCTTGAAAAGAAAAAGGAACAAAATAAGGGCATCTTCTTTGACTCCCAAAGGCTTCATTTTCTAGTTTCATAGCCCAGATATGTTCTCTGCATTCTTATCAGGATATTTCTTATAAGTGGAGTGACTATTTGTGTGTGTCTAAGGTGAGGATGCTGTCAGGCATTAGGTATTGGTCAAAGAAATAGACTCATGGCCAGTAAGGCCCTTTATGTCAGAAACTAATAGCATTAGGGCAATGTTGTGCAAGGTTGAGCTGCACATAGGCAGTTGATTCTGTGATCTTCTGTATTTTCAAAGCATCTTGGAATGACCCTGGGACTCCATTTTGACTAGCTGAGTAGAATGTCCTTGCTCCACATGTTTCTCCCCTTCATAAAATCCTTCTGTAGCTTTGTCATACTAAATAACATTCAAATGTTTGATTTAGACCAGTGATTCTCAGGAGTTAGCCTGTGTTGAAGTTACTTGGAGGGCTTTTTAAATAGTTGATCCTTAAGGGTGGGTTTGAATTGCCTGGATCCATTTGTTTCCATAGCGAATGCTACATGGTAATACAAGATCCCTGGTTGGGTGACTCCTGGATGTGGTCCTGAGGATGTTGAGAACCAGAGGATACAGAGGAATTTGGTGGTGGAGAGGTTTCTTGAGTGTTAAGTGAGTTAACACATAAAGAATTGTGATTGATATGTGGCAATTATGTCAGCAATTCATAAGTGTATGATCCCAGTATCAGTAGAATGTACTGTTCACAAGAACAGTGACTTACATCTAAATAATACTTGATTATTATTGATGATTCAAGAGGCTTGAGGATGGCCTCAATAACTTAAATTGAACCATGAGAACATTTGCCCTTGAAAGATTATCTCAGCAAGAATGATATCCACATGGTAATGCTTTTCTTATTGAATATGGAGCCTTTGCATTTTAAAAAAGAGCCTTTATTTTTAGAATAGTCTTATGTTCACAGAAAAACAGATCAGAATTCTCATTTGCCCCTCCTTCGCAGGGGCACAGTTTCCCCTTTTATTTATATTTTGCATTGTGATATAATTGAACCAGTATTAAGACCTTATTACCTAAAGTCTGTAGTTTACATTGGGTTCACTCTTCGCATAGTTCTATGGAGGTTTGACAGATTCATGGCACATACCCAGTGTTGCGGTTCCATATAGAATAGTTTCACCACCTGGAGATGACCCCTGTTCCACCTCATCACCTCCCAGGAGACCAGGGCAGCTGCTACTCTTTCTGCTGCCCCTCTTAGTTTGCCTTTTCCAGAATTTCATAGTTACGAGTCATACAGTACGTAGACTTTACAGACTAGGTACTTTCACCTGGCAATGTACACCGATGGTTCCTCCATCTTTTCATGGTTGGTATAACTTGGTTCTTTTTATCACTGAATAACATTCTGTTATCTGGGTGTACTATAGTTTGTTTATTGATTCTCCTATTGAAGGACATCGTAGTTGATACTAGTTTGGCAGTTATGAATAAAGCTGCTGAAAACATTCATGTCCAGGTTTTTGTGTGAACAAAAGTTAACTCACTTGGGTAAACACCTGGGAGCATGAGTGCTGGATCGGATGAGAAGCCTCTGTTCAGTTTTCTAAGAACCTGGCGAACTGTCTTCCAACATGGCTGCACCATTTCGTTCCACCAGGAATGGATGAGCGTTCTTGTTGCTCCACCTCTAGAATTCAGTGCTGTTTGTATTTTGGGTTTTAGCAGTAATAGCAGATCCTTGTGTTTACGTTAAAAGAAACTCCTTCCCATAAAACTCCCTCTTGATCCTTTGTTGGTCGTGTGCTTGTGTGGTGGGAGATATGTTGGTAGATGGTTTACTTAGGGCTGACCCTTTCCTTTGTTCCAGCCTGAAGCCAAACTTGAGAGAAACTTGCCAATCAAACTGCATCAAGTGAGCTGTGTAGCATCACTGACATGGGCTTCATGGAGAACTACCTAATGCACCTGGGGAATAGGGGGGGCGCAGGCATGGAGCTGATCTTTGACCTCATCTCCCTTAGACCGTGCAGGGCTTCATAATCAGTCCTCCTAACACAGCAGAGGAGGAGAGTGAGGTCTGGGGACCAGGAGCCAGGGGGAAACGCGCCTGATGTTCCACTAGTTAATCCGGTGACCTTCAAGCACATCACATAACCTGTAGATCCACAGAGACGTGTACTATGGAATTTGCAAGATCCTCCTAAGCTCCAAAATTCTGATTCTAAAATCAGTCTGGGCACAAGTCGATCAGTGCAGAACAAAGGAAGGAGGCCCTCAGCCCTCACTCGGAGGCAGACATGAGTTCATCGAGCAGAAAGCTCTCTTGAGTGAGTTGTCAGTCTTTGAAGCGGCTGAGACCTGTGACAGGGCGGCCTAAGGTAAATGTCTTCGGGGGAGACGCTGGAAACTTCACAAAGGGGATCCTGCGTGTTGTCGACCTGAGCGCGGGGATCACAGGGAGTCGGCGTCCCCGGCTGGGTTGGGGTTTGGTTGCTGGTTTGCAGCAGCCACGGCAGAAGGGAATTTGGAAAGGAGTGAAACGCGCCCGCTTGGAGCGCTCTGATGTACAGTGACGCTCTGTCATGCTGAGCGCTTTGTTATTTTTCACTTATAGGCGAGGTTAGAGGGGTTGTATGACAAGCAAATTAAAAACTGAGTGGGGTGAAGAGGGACACGGGCGAGAGCCGGGGAGTGACAGAGAAAGCCACTGTCACAGCGCGTGGTTCTGCAGCGCGGCGCCCAGGGCTCAGAGCGCTTTTCAGGGGCAATGAAACCGCCCCTCTCCCGTTGAGACTGACGGCAGGCGAGATATTGCTGGGAACAAAGGGGACATTTAACTTTAAGAAAATGAAAGGCATTGCTCACACTTTTCTGTCCTGCTTGTATCTTTGTCTCTAGTTAACGTTTCCCACGGAGCTGATTGGTCTTTCGGAAAAGTCACTGGGGCGCAGGAAGCCAAAGGGCTGCAGTGAGCCGGGCTGATGGCTGCCAACCCCCGGGTCAGGGAGGCGTCCTGGACCGTCGCCGCTGGTTTTAATAACCGGCCTTTGTGGCCTCAGAGGAGCGGGTCCCGCTCATTCCTCGGGCAGTCTCCATTCTTCTGAAGCGCCCCGGAGCATCTCTGAGTCTCCTCAGGGCGTTGTCATCCCCCTACCTGTGCCGAGACCACCCAGATGAGGCCTCTTCGCAGGAGATGGAGCCGCGATGCGATCCACGCGCCCCGCTGGCGTTTCAGGGCAGGGGCCTTGTGATGCTGCTCCAGGCGCTTGTCCAAGGGGGGCACCGGGGCCCCCAGACCTCGGCCCCAATTGACGCGGGGGGGACCGGGGCCCCGAGACATAGGCCCCGAGGGATGCGGGGAGACCGGGGCCCCAAGACATCAGCCCCGAGGGACGCGGGGGGACCGGGGCCCCGAGACCTCGGCCCCGAGGGATGAAAGGCTTGGACACGACAGGCAGGAAGGTCCCGGGGGCCGCCCAGGCCGGGAGCGCTCAAACAGGCGCCCCCGCGCTGAGCGGGGCTTGACCAGGGCACCAGGTGACCTCCGCGGCCCCCTGCCAGGGGTGCAGCCGTTGAAGCAGAAGAGAGGCTCCGAGCAAGGCTGGGGGGCGGGAACCGGGAAGTGGCTCGGGTCGCTTCTGTTCCTTCCGGGCGCCCAGCCCCACCGTCCTTCCTGGTGACAGAGCCTGGTCTCTGCCCCCTGTGCGCTCCTCCGGGAGGACAGAGCAGACATCGGCAGGAAGGACATGACCGTGAGGGTGTCTGAACCCAGGTGATGATGGCTCCCTCCGCACTTGGGACGGGGCGTCCCGGGAGCTTTGTTCCGGACGGAGGACCGCGTGGACCTGGGGAAGGCGGGGAGGCGGTGTCCTCACTGGGGTCGGGAGGGCAGGAGGGATGACCCAGTCCTTCGGTGGTTAACGTAGAAAATGCAGGGAGGCCGGCTCTGGTCTCCCCTCTCCTGGTTCCTAACAGGCAAGACTGCGTTTCTCGGTGAGATTCTGACCCTCCTCCCTGTCCTATTAGGGAGACTGGGGATGAGGGACGGAGGGAGCCAGTGTCTCCTCACTTTATCTTTGTTGTGGGCATGTCCTCTGCACTGATCTCTTCTTTTATTTTTTACTTTTTCTGATTCCACAGACAGGAATGGGTCAGTTGTCAAACCCACTTCCAAGGTGTTTCTTATATTAGACACTTCTTTTTAGTCAAGTTTGATTTAGAAGTTTGTGAATGTGCTCACCTTTTCTGTAGCAAGATATTTAGATATTTTTTGTACATTGTCGGTCATCCTTGGCTGATGAAAGCCTCTGGTAGAACATGAGTGTTTCTAATTCAGTCTCAAATGGTAGGGTTCAGTTTCTAAAATCCTCTTTCCCTTCTCCTTCAAAGCTCCCATTTCCTTAGCCATGTGAAGGAAAAGTATTATTTTTACTAAAACAATAGCTAACAGGGAGGCCTGAGGGACTAGAGATACTTGAAATGTGTTTTCCTGCTCATCTTACAAGTTACCTGATGAGCTCAAAGGATTGCATCACTAGGCGTCTAAACTGAATGTTTATCCTGGATCCTCTTCCTGGCCGTGACCTCCTTGGGTGCCTGCATGTTATATTTGCACTCACTTCCGTGGGCTGGTGCAGCAGTCCAGAGTTGCTGAGGAAGGAAGGGTGGGATAGCGAGGTCAGCCTCACTGAAAACACCCACGTCACGGTCGTGAGGCAGGGTCTGCTTTCTGGGACATGGGCCTTCCTCTCCATCACCTCCAGCCATCTTGCAGGTGTGATAATTTTGATCTAACACAAGTGTATGGTTACCTTGGGGATTAAAAAAGTAATTTGAGAGATTTTGTAACCAGGGAAATCTTGATAGCTGTTGGGATTTCACCTTCTAGAGTGACTTTTTATGAGAGTACCGAGGATGGTGATCAGACTGATCTCAGTTGTGGAATATGTTCAGTTGCCTTCATTGAAAATACAGCTAGTTTTTCTAATGACAATAAAATGTGAACATTCTTCAGAATAAAAATTCCATTGGTTTCCATGCCATGCTCTTGAGTGTTTTGTGATATTTGCTTGCATGGATTCCAAGGTGGTTATCTTTTATTAGATGTGAAGACTACCATAGGTATCTACCTATCTTGGGCGTGGAGTCAGAAAGACTTAATTTTTTTCTGACTGTTACTAGTGTGAATTTGGAAAGTTTTTTTAACCTCTGTTATTTAGTTTGCTAATCCATAATTTTGAGGTAATAACATCTTCAGACTTGTTATGAACAGTAAATAAGCTAACATATACATTTGCAGTAGTTTGTGCAACATAAGATGAATGTTAAAAATGTTTTTACTTTTTATTAAATATTTGCTCTCAATTCCATAAGAAAATAGTTCAAAATTTATTAATATATCTTTTAAAAAGAAAGACCTTTATATTATATTGTATCTTTTAATAATATGTATCTTTTAATGAGAAAGTCTCTACTCTGCTTAATCATATTCAGTAAGGGGTGTTTAGAACTCTGGGGAGAGGGGAGTGGTCACTGAAACTCAGAAAACAACTGATCTTAGATGTTGAAGAGCTGTTAGCCCTGGAATACACTGCTCAACTGCATTATTTAAAACTTGAAGAATCTACAAATACAGAAAGTAAATAGGGTCAGGAATATAATGTGTGGATAATGGGACTCAGCAAGGTAAGATCAAAAGCATTGAGGAGGGTGGATGAGAAGGTTGAAGATTACCAGACAGCAACAGGTCACAAACATTGAGCACATTGGAGGTGTTTTGCATTATGCTGATCTCCAAGGCGAATGCAGAGCTAGAAGCTGTATTTTTTTTGCAAGATACTCTTCTCAGCTAGATTTTATGTAATGCAAATAAAATCACAAAACACACTGATGCCCATTTGGGGGGCTGTTTTTCATTTCCTATTGCTAATAAAATACATGTAAATATAAAATGTAAACTCCTCTAATGTTGTGAATAATCCCTTAATTGTTAAATGCAGAGGAGGATGTCCTCAGTTTCTTCCTTTTTTAAGCCATCTGCTGCAATTGACCTGGTTCGCTGCTCCATCCATCTTCAAATTCTACACCCCAGGTTTCTAGACATCATTTCTTACTGATTGTCTTCTTGGCTTTTAGAATGTTCACTTTCTGACTCACCCTTTGAGTTAGCACTGGAGTAGATACTGACTGAATGCATTGTAATGTCGCTCATTAGACGCGATGGAGACTGGGCTTTTCCTACATGAACTTGCTGCTACTCTGACGTCATCAGAGATTTCTTACATCTGTCTTCACAAGGTCTGTCATTTTCTTGGAGTGTCCTTATCTGGCTTTGGTATCAGGTTAATGGGGCTTCCCAGGTGGCACTTATGGTAAAGAACTGATGCAGGAGACATGAGAGACATGGGTTCTATCCCTGGGTTGGGAAAATCCCCTGGAGAAGAAAATGGCAACCCACTCCAGAATTCTTGCCTGGAGAATTCCATGAACAGAGGAGCCTGGTGGGCTACAAGTCCATGGGGTCACAAAGCGTCAGACACGACTGAGTGACTAAGCAGCATCAGGGTAATGCTGGCCACGTAAAATGAGTTTGCGTATGATACTCCTCTACAAACTGTGGGAGAGTTTGAGAAAGATTGGCACCGATTGTCTTTTAAATGTTTGGTGAAAGTGAAAGTTGCTCAGTAGTGTCCGACTCTTTGTGACCCCATGGACCGGAGCACGCCAGGCCTCCCTGTCCATCACCAACTCCTGGAGTTTACTCAAACTCATGTCCATCGAGTCGGTGATGCCATCCAGCCATCTCATCCTCTGTCATCCCCCTCTTCTCCTGCCTTCAAACTTGTCCAGCATCAGGGTCTTTTCCAATGAGTCAGCTCTTCGCATGAGGTGGCCAAAGTATTGGAGTTTCAGCTTCAGCATCAGTCCTTCCAATGAACACCCAGGACTGATCTCCTTTAGGATGAGCCACAAGGGAAGCCCTTAAATGCTTGGTAGGTTTCACTAATGAAGCCATCTGGTCCTGGGCTTTTCTTTACTGGCAGGTTTTTGATGACTAATTCAACCTTGTTATTGGACTCTGCAGATTTTCTGTTCATAAATTAGTCTTGGTAATCTATGTGTTCCTAGGAATTTTTACGTGAATATTTTGAATTTTATGTTTCTTTTGGTATGTTATCATGCAGGAAATAACTGGATGGGGAGTTATCTGTACATTGTTTTTCCTTCTATGATACTCCATTGTGTATAATCACTGCATTTAAACTACTTGACTAGAACCTGATTCATCTTTAACTGGCCACTACAACATATAACCTTAGAGGATTTCTTATACAGCCATCTGGATGTGTACAGAATTCTCATTGCTGTATATAGCAGGTTGAACAAAAGGTTCATTTGGGATTTTCCTGATAAATCTAGAAATAGAATGACTGGATTGTAATTTCTTTGTTAAACTAAGTGAATCTAGAGAATTTTCCAGAATGTTCCTACTGTTCACAATGATACACACCTACATGTTGCATCTTGCAGTTTTCTAGTTTTTATTAGGCTTATAGACAGTTTACAATACTCAGGAAAACTGTCATTTAAATTGTATGAGAAGATAGGCTTTCAAGCTGAAATTTTTACTTCCCATTTATCCATTTTGCCCCAAACAAAAACAGAAAATCATAAGAATGCACCCAGAAATAAAAGTAGTGAGATAAGGATACCATGGATTCTAAGGAAGCGTGTTGGCCATGAACATGGTTGGCAATGAACTTAGACTTAAAAATCTTCATGCAGAATGTAATTGCTGAGGCTGTGTGGATTTGAAGTCTAAAGGATTTCTAGACCAGTCAAAGCATAGTAGAAAAATATCTGGAATAAAAATTCCAGTAAACTTCTGTGGTACCGAGTAAAAGTGTGTTCCTTTTGGATTCGCTGAGTATTATGGATACTGAAATTCTCAACATTTAATAAAAAAACTAGACTTTAGAACATGTTTTAATATGAGAACATTGGAAGAATAGAAATCTGGTTTTTCTCAGTGTTTCTATAAATTGACATGAACAAAAAACATGGTATTTCAAGGAAAAAATGGAAGAAAGAAAGCAAGATTAACATGACATCCAGTAAAGGCAAAAGCTGAAAACAATAAGCCCCAAATTTCAGTTATGAAAACAATTATGGTTTTTAAAATGTCTCATTAGAACAAAAAGATACTTAAATTTTGTAAGTGAAAGCAATAAAATTATTCCAAATAATGCTACTAAAACACCTCCACAATGTGAATGTGCACTCAGTCATGTCCAGCTCTCTGTGACCCCATGGACTGTAGCCCGCCAGGCTCCTCTGTCCATGGGATTCTCCAGGCAAGAATGCTGGAGTGGGTTGCCCTTCCCTCCTCTGGGGCATCTTCCTGACCGGGGGACTGAACCCATATCTCTTGTGATTCCTGCATTGCCAGGCAGATTCTTTACTACTGGTGCCGCTTGGGAAAACGACACCTCCCTGTGAAGCCCAGCTTCCCATCGCGCCCTGGACGAAGGTCAGGAGAATGTGGAGGGAAGGGCCAGGAGGAGACCTTTGGAGTTACAGAGTCACAGTGGAGAAAGGCGTCTTCAGGTCCCCCCACCCCTGCCTGCTTCCCATGCCGGGATCTCAGCAGACACATCCGAGGGGTCTCGGCCCTCGGCCACCCCTGCATGGAGGTGTCCGGGTCCAGAGCGCAGGCTGCCTGGAGGGTGGACGGCTGAGCCCTTGACTGAAACTTCCTCCAGGGCTGGCTGTGTGTGTGTGCACCAAACCTGGTGGGGGAGTTGGTGAGGGGGCGGGGGGGCAGGCAAGTGAAGCCTTTGTCATG